AGTGTACCGATGGATTCTGTTCGTCTTGAGCCAGCATAAGCTCAGACGCTGACACTGAATAGGGGAACGTTATGCTCTCTGTCTCACTACTGACATCGGAGGTACCGTAAATTTTATTCATAAGACAGACCGACAAAAAACGTTTCCCACTGTTTGGGGGAACACTTTGCATCATGCTAGCACCGATCGAAAGCAGGCCATACATCGGTACCTATGTCCGTTTCTTATTCTGTATTAATATCGATTTTTGCCACATATATGAAAACGAGCCCTATTTTGGTAGAAAGTGAATACACCAGCAATGTATTCTTGCATCTAGACGCATAAGAGGAAAAGCAGGCCGCGGCTGGGTGGTATTTAAGTGCTTGTAGTGCACAGGACGCGGGACCGCGTTTCAAACTAGAATTCAACGTATATTCAACCAAGGTTGCCACGATCCAAGATTACATCTACTGGCAGTCATATTAAAAAACATAAGTAGCAATCATACAAAAAAAAATCATGATCCGTATTGTACAAAACAATCCCATTTTTTAAGCTGAGCTTTTAGCGAAAAGCCAGTAATAAAAACAAAATGCTTCTCACTTTGTTCGATGAGTTCGGTTATGCCCGGATTGTCAGATTCTACCTCTAACTTGAACTTTGCGATTTCCATATCCAACTTTGCCAGGTATCTCCTGACCAGGTCATACATCGAAGTAGCCAGGTTAACCTTTTCATCCGCATCTTCAAGGATTTTTCTGAACTCCTGGAAAACGAAGAATTGGCTAGTGAAAAATGAACAAAAGATTTTAAATTTCTATTAGAAAAAGCGTCGAAGAAAAAAAGAATAGAGACAATATAGTAATATACAAACAGTAGGTGTTGTGGAAAAAACCTCTAAATAGCTCATGGAGCAAATTCCATTTTTTGATACGTGCCTTTTCTGAACCAGGTTTTAACGTCGATAATCCCTTTGACATGTTATATACAAAAAACCAAAATTAAACAGTTTACTAAGCACAGTGTAAAACAAGAGCCTTACTGAGTTGATAATCCTCTCGGCAAGTTTCGGTCTATATCTCACACATCTTGCTTAGATTAAACGTGTTGATCGCTGATGCTGCCGACGTCAGCTGATCGTACTTCTCAATCAAGAAGACGCTTTTATTTCATTCGGTTACCTTAACAGCTGATTAGTGATGCAGCTGATGGGGCTCATGCCATACGCGAAGAGCTCATATTTTTTGCTCAACTTAACAGCCTTACAAGGGTACGCCCTTTTGATTCATTTATTTTAGTAGGAAGGAACTTTCGGCGATTTCAGCGTTTCAGTTTTCTTCATTGGCAGTCTACTCAATTGCAGTATCAAGGTCCACTAGAAAGAAAGTGAAGGACAGAAGTACGTATATGACAGAAAAACTTGTCAAGCATGGTCAGAAAAAGAAACTGCTGGCGTCAAAAAAATTCACTGATTATCGTCTCAATTTTGGCTGCAGACCGGAACTTGGTGAATGGTATAATTTCCAAAAAATAAATAGTCCTTAGAAAAGTCACAGCTTGAAAATGCACAGGCAGCTGCAAAACGCGTAATTAAGGGACTTGATGGACAAAATTACCGTTTTATTAAAGCTCATAAACCAATATTTTAATACAACAACTTCTTACATGAATTCAACAGCATGTGAGCAGACAAGGAAAAAAATAATAATGAGCATAATAATAATAATAATAAATCATAAGCAATATTCCACCTCTTTTATTTTGTCGTAGAACTTGTTCCTTTCTTCCACGGACAAAGTTGGAGCCGATGCAAACAGTGACTTAGTTCTCTGTTCATTTTTGTCCATGTCATCTAAAAAACGTCACAGCAACAACCTTCGAAAAATAAGTTTATAAATATGTTCAACTCTTGTCTCAGTCTCAAATTCAACAGAGGTACCCTCGCCTGAAGTGTATCCTATTATACAACATTTGCAATAAACTGACAATGGAAACGTTCCAGGTAGAATGACGTTAAAACGGAAAAAAACTAAAACTGCACCACGAATTTTATGATACACGTTAAGAATATTTTCTGGAGGACCTTGTTTTCAATTCACTGCAAAATGTGATAAGAAACAACCTGTTTACTGAGACATTTTCAATATTAGTATATTAACTGTTGTCGTTGTGGGAAACAGCAGGAACAAAGATACGGTACTTCGCTTACAATCCTGCTTCACTGATTATCGTCAATGTTTAGGACTCGTTGCTCTTTACATACCCACGAAACGGAAAAAGCATAATGATATACGTCACTGTTTCAAGTAATTCCTTGAAGTATGTCAAAGCATCTTTAAACATCTAATCTACTACACTTAATAATTCGCTCGACATTTACAAGTAAATATAGACATTATCTGATTCATATGGCTAAATATTGTCATATTTTGATTCCAGCTACCTTTGGAGCGGCATATCAAGTATTTTGGCTCTTTAGAGAGTATTTTCTTCTCGTCATCAAACATTTCTATTGAAATTTTTGAAACGTTATATAAATAGAACGCCTATCTTTAGGATACTCTTCTAGGAATTTCTGCATTTCGTTCGAAATATCCTTTGCCCTTCATCTGCAGTTTCAAGAAGTCCCATATTTCTTACAGGAATCTGACTTCACAGAAACAAAAAAGATTTTCCACTCATATTCTACGAAGAATAACCGTCTATTTATTCAACTGTTGCGGATATCAAAAGTAAAAAGTCGAATAGTCTCACTCCTATCAGTCCTGAGGATAAAAAATATTGCAGTTTTCTAAAAAGCTGACCGCCGAACAGTCTTTTGATATTTTGCATGCTCATAACCGTCCAACATACTTATTCTGAGTAGCACGTGCGAGATTTAGATAAATTTTATATCTGAACTTCACAGTTTTGTTTCTATGACTGTTTAAGTTACCTAAGACTTGAACAGCAGGAATGTCCAGAAACGCGTCTGACTCACTGGAAATACCCCCAAAACTCCCGTTATGTAACAACTCAACGGCAAGGGCCAAACAGCAAGCACTCACTTTGAACCTGGAGATCCAATTCTCTGATTTCCGTAAAACGATCTCTGAGTTCTGCCGGAAGATTTTCGATTACTACATGCGGACATCAGTTTCAAAACTGAATACAAAATAAGTAGTGAAAACTCATACGTTCCAAAAAATCTTCCAAATACAACATCAAAATACGACCGTTAGGCTCGAGTAAAAATCCCTGCAGCTCTTCTGTAAATTTTACCTAGAAGGGAAAACTTTAGGCAAAAACAGCTTCCTTCTGAGACTGCACCTTTAGGTGTTGCTTTTCGGCGACTGTCCACCTTCACTTTCATAAGCAATCAACTGACTTTCAAAACGGTCAAATTCATCGGTCTCTAAACACAATCAGAATATGAGAACAGGCAAAGTTTTCCAACAGAATAATGCATATCGGAATTTAAACTGCCTAAGACGCAGCTCATTTTGTTCTCGCTAATTTAGTAAATTACGGTAAGACGTTATTTGCACGTTCTATGCAACTTATGATTCATTTAGCCCGAAAGGTCTATTTGTCAGACTGTACTAAAATTTCAGATCGCATTTCTACATGAAAAATGTTTAGTAAAACACTTGATATTAAGCAATTTGTCTTGAAAAAACGCGTCATAAATAAAAAATGATAATAAATCAGTCAGAAATATTTTAAATTAATCTGTAGCTTCGAAACTAGCCTGTTACGCAAATATAATTTTCTTGGAAATGGACGTCGAATGAGAAACAAAATCCTTTTTTAGAGGATGAAATGGTATTGTCACAATTCACCTATGTTTGGCTGTATTTGTGTAAATCATTTTGGAGTTCTGCATATCGGTATTCGACGATGAAATTAACAAGTCAAATTGTAGCTAATTTTGAATATCTATAAGTATTGAATGGCAAAGTCGCGAGAAATTCACATAGCAACGAGAAAGATTGAGTGGAAACCTACTACAAGATATTTAATTCATTTCATGTAAGTTCCAGCAGTAGGTTTTCAAGTAGACGGCCCAAATAAGTCTCAAACAGAACGGAACAATGCTTTGAAATTAAGTTTGCATTTCAATGAACTAAAAACATTCCTTTTAGTTTGTTGCCATAATGAATTCAGGCGGATGGACGAGGGTACGACTATATTCCAATCTGCAGCAAGATCCACAACGATCCCGCATCTAACCGTGGTGAACCATCTGCACGAAGGTCAGTTTTTCCGAATTCCACAGAACTGTCTTTCATTTATGATGGTATGCGCGAAGAGAGTCTCAGTGCACAAGGTTCAGTACATGGAAGCAAACTATACAGTAATGGTGCCTAACTAAGTTAATCCTATAAATTTCTTCTCGGCTATTCGTTCTATTGAGAGTTTCTTGCGCCATAACGGTCCCACTTTCAATATTAACTTGATTTTTTCTGTTTGAATGAGCATGCGGGAATACTGATAGATTACGTGAGTTTTCAGCGTGATGCGTTCAGTCACCGCTGAACGCCTGTTTCAGTCCTGCTGATGCAAGCTGTATGCTCCTGTTGTGTATTGCTTCAGTCTCTCCGATTCAGGTATCGCAACAAATGCAGTTGAGCGGATACTGCACCCCATAGGTATCTTGTAAGGTAGAATCAATTTTTTACACACTCAAAACCCGCTAGCTCTTGTATTCCTTAGAATCATAGGTTTCCCTAAAAGATTATTCTTAGAAAGACCTAATTTTGTGCTGTATTGCATGTTGCATGTTTCTTCGTTAAAGTTAAAGTTATTAGTTGAAATGAGAGAGAGAAAGAAGTACCGTGACGAATATATAATTTCTGAAATTATCTGAATTTTGAGACTGTTGAAAATTGCTTGAGGAGGGCGTTGTTTCAATCTTGAAATCGTGAAAGTAAGGCGTGACCATATGAAATTGATTTCATTCAAAAACTGGCATTTGATTTCGATTAAAACTCTTCGCATTAAATCTGAGTTCATCAATCTCAATAATGGATATTTTTAAATTTTAAAGCAGCAGTATTATCGCGCTAGATTTCTCAGGCTGCAATTTTTTATAACCATTTTGGCTGTAAAGACATTTTTTAAGGCAGACTAAAGTTTTGTTGCCTGACGTTTTGTCTACTGCAGTTTTTGTAATTTGTTGAATTTATTTTGCGGTCATCTTGTCCTATCGGTTATTATTTATCATTAACTTAGTTTTAACTGTATTTGGCCTTCTTCAGAACCTTTTCTGTTAGTAAACTTGTGCCAGAACCTTACTAATTTTGTTATGAAACGCACTGGTAAAGTTTCAGCACACACTGCTTGATCTGTTCATTATAAAGAGGAAAGCCGGTGATATTCCCTGACGTTATTATGATCAGCAGGTTCAAACAATAGACTGGTTGTCATTCAAAGCCGTACTCTTGTATAGAGTGGTTGGTTGTTTGTATCGCTGGTGGCAGTCATTTGTTACGCTGGAATTTTTGTCATATGATTAGTTATGAGTGAACCGAAGTTCGTATATATACGTGATCTTACTCCGTCTATGAAAAATGTTAACTTGCAATTCATCGTACTGGATGTTGGCGTTCCTCGCCGTACTAGGGATGGTAGTGAAATCCGAACCGTTAGAATTGCAGATAAGAGCGGTTCGGTAAATTTGGCAGTATGGAATGAAAACGGTTCTTCTCTTCAGCCGGGTGACATATGTAGACTGATAAACGGTTATTCTTGTGTCCATAAAAGTTGCCTTTCGGTAACATGCGGAAAGTTGGGTGAACTGCAGAAGATAAGCGAGTAAGTGCAAAAAGTTAATTCATAACTCTTGTCTTTGATTCTTCAACTTTTTTTGATTTAATAACGATAATGATGACTCATTATGTCTCCGCTAGTTTCTTCTATTAGTGCATAATACGAATAAAGAATAATATAACTTATTTCGTAAGCCTGAAATCAAATAAAAGCGGCAAAAAACTCAGATTTATCTTTGTTTAAACCAGAATATGTTTTTTTCTGTAGCTGTTGGTGTAGCATCAAATATCGAAAACTTATTACCGAGACAACCATACTGATGTTTAGAAAACAAGTAATGTTAATACCTGAGCAGCTTTATGAATCTGGTTCTCATGCTTCTAGCTGAGTGCTGTAAGGAGATTTCAGGGTTGAAATTCTGAATAAATATTTATAAACAAACTAAAAGTGTTTTTGTTTCACATACGACACTTAATGTTTTGCATAGCTAAAATATGTAAACATGCGTATTGAAAACATTTTCATCGTTGCCTGAAGAATTACATCTAATCAGTTGCAGTTCAACAACCAACCGAGTGAATCGGCTTGGTTTAAATATATTGCATGCCGAATATGAGTTAATTTTAATTGCTGCTGTAGGTTCACTATGGTTTTTAACGACTATCCGTTCATCAGTGTACCGAATCCTGACTTGGCAAAGTTTGATGTGCCTCCTCAGAAACGCTCTCCTCCTCAGGATGGTAGTAGTGGTGGACCTTCAGAATCCGCTCCTGATTCTTCGTCTTTGCCGAACAAAACTTCGAGGAATGGAATAAACGCAAACAGCGGCTCCATCAATGGTCTCGGCAATGCTTCTGATGGTAACGGTAGTACCGCTGGATGATTTTTCATTTTCATGTGTTTCTCTCTGCCTTCGCAGGTTTACTGTTATAAGGTTCGGCTTTGGTTGCGAGGCTGGAGCAGATTTTGAAAATTTTTCTACTTTTCCAGCTGCATTGTTGTTGTGTTTTAATTAAGATAAGCGCGTCTTCAATTTCTTATTGCATGTAATGTCAGAAACATTATAAGTAATGTAGCAACCGCTTAATTTTTAAATATGGACAACTTTCATCTGTAGCTTGAAGTTTTTCACTTTTTCCTGCGTTTCGATTTTTCACAGAGATTCGGTCGATTTCCCTTTTTTTTCTATCATCAAATTTTTTATTTCTTAAGGTCAATAGTCTTAAAATACCTCCTTTAAATTGTAACACTTATTTTTGGAGATTTTCTCTGTCGTTAAGATTTACCTAGGTTTATAAGAATACAGTATCTGTTGACGTCGAAAAATCAATACAGTATGAAACTGGCCGAGTTGCCTACTGCGATAAATGCACAACTGACTCGTTTCATATGCTTCTGCTTTAACTTTAACATTGATTGTCAGCTGTTCTGTGTCGACTTTTAAGTGAAGGTTTAAGTATTATTATTCACAGGAGTTAACGATGTACGACTGAATTGACTAATAAATCATTAATTTAGTGTAATTATGATACATGTTCAAGACCTAGACTCGAGCTGACTTACAAGGCTGTAACCAAAGATTATTAATAAATGGCTTACCAAAATCATTATCGTTTGTCATGGCCGATTAGACGCTAGATCTTGTTTATTGTATGTAGTCGATCACTGTACGTCGTTTCATATCAGGTAGTTGTAACTCTTCTGGATCAGGTTTACAAATATATTTTTGACCCTCGCTCATCTATCCGAAGATGAATAAAAGCAAACTGATGGGAAATCAATTCCACTTCTCTGTGTATGCTTAGATTTTCAATTTCGTTTTTTAGGCCAGCAATAATGAGACTGCAAATAGAGTTTTAGTCTCTACTATGTCTTAAGATTACCTCCTCTTAAGTCTAGCTGCATTTTCAATATTATTTTTAAGTATCTTTGTGCATCCATTGTATTGCGGAGACTCCTTTGAGTTTTGGAAACGTCGAACTCTGTTTTTGTCTACTATTCATGCAGACCCACAATCTTAGTACCGGTTTCAGCGACGGAATGACTAGAGTCTTTTACAACGTTCAGTCTGTATTTCAGTGATCATGCGCTTCAGGCTTCGAATACACTTGCACTTTTTGTCTGTTCTTTGTTTTGACGAAATGAACTGTACAAAGATCTCCATTGCTTTCAAGACTCCGGACCTGCTATCCTTTATTTTTCAAAACAGCAGCAGATTTAAGAGATAAAATTTACCGCCAAACTTTAGGATGGGATATTACATATAAGTAGTGTACGTTTGTCGTTTTAATTTCCTTTAGCGTATGATCATATTTCTTGTAAAATCAGTTACAGTTTAGTCAGATGTAATACGTGATTAGACTGACGTATCTGCTCCTGAAATGTATAAAGGGGAATAATTGACCAAAATCGTAGAGACAACTGCTGATCCGCGAACATCCTTAATTTTTCTCTGATTCATATAAATGATTTGGCATGTTTCGAGGGTTCAGCAGAGTCCCGTAGCCGCGACGGCACTTTCTTGTTGCTACAATAATATTTGCAATAGGTCTGCGGCGAATATGCATTTGAGCGAAACTTGAGTGTCGAGTTATTCACGCGACCCGTAGGCGACTATCGACCGGTGGACGAGGTATTGCTGCAGCGGGCTTCCGACTCAGCC